TTATGCAGGAGGAAGAGAAGTTTTCTTGTTTTTTTGATGTAGGAGTTTTGCAGAAGACGAGAAGAAGAAAGAACTCGTGACATGCTTGCACACCTTGAAAGTGAGCGACTAGCACGACGTATCGCAGAAGAAAATTTGTCTACTACAGATAAAGGTGTTTTTTGAGTGTTGAATAAGATTTTTGGATTATGTATTACTTTCCTTTTAAATTGTCTTGTTTCAGAAAAAACCATGCTTGAAGTTGAAGTACGCCAACTTGTACAACGACATGAGAAGGAGTTAGCAGCCAAAGATGCAACCATGCAATTGATTTCGCAAAAAGTTTGTTCAGCATTCATTTTTCCTATTTTATGATAAACTGAATAATACACAAATTTTAGTGAAATTATTTGAAAACATTTAAGCGCGAAGTACATTTAAACAATTTGAAGTTTTTGCTGAACATATCCTTATTCTACTTGCTGCAGTCGCTTGTTTTTTAGGAAGAGGAGCTTCAGCAGTCATTGCAAGAAGCTCAAAATGAACTACGTTCAATTTCGGAGCGTGATTCGTCACGTGCATCACCAGAAGAGAGCATACGAGATTTGAAAAACCAATTGGAGCACGAAAAGGTGATGAAAACTACTGTAAGTTTTAAAAGTTTAATCAATTCGTGGCTAAATCCACAACATTAATTTTTTAAGCATTATTTAGTTTAAAAGCAGTAGATGAAGAAGAAGCAAAAGTTTTACTGTATAACTTGCCAAATTTGTGCAATTCTTTTTAGGCTATTAATAAGTTGGAAGAAGTGATGGCTCAACGTCAAGCAAATGAGGCTCTCAAAAAAGGTAAGATGAGTCGTAGTGATGCAAGAAGGCGAGAAAAGAAGATAGTTGAGCTGGAGAAGGACTTAAGAATGGAGCGGCAAAAGTACGAAGAACGCGTTATGCAGATAGTGAAGGAAAATGAACAGTTGAAAGTAAGTTAGGATCTCTCATGTGGAGAGATAAGATTTAATTGTAGAACGTTAATTCCCAGAAATTCATTATAATATTGAATTTTTTTAGCTTGCACTGGCTGAGGAAGAGAAAGCAAACGAGAAGCTGCGAATGGATCTTGAAACATTCCGGCATTTGGAAACCGCCATGAATGAGCAGAAAAAGCGAGAGAGGCAAGAAATTCATTCAGATCAACCTCGAATCTCTGCTGCCATCCTCATGCAAGAAATTAATGAAGTGAGCTCTACTTTATGAATATTCTTCGCTTTAATCATTTAATCATTTGTTAATTTATTATTGTTTATTGGTTCATTAAGGTTGCAAAGCCTTTTAAGTGAATGATTCAATCTTAAATTGCCGTGAAAATTTTATATTTTTTCTTACTTTTACTTATTTATTGGAAAGGAAAGCTATCCTTCAATAATTAAATGAAATGAAAAAATAGAGCAAAAAATGTTCATTCAGAATGAGTTACGTTATGATGGCGCAGTTTCAATTCGTTTAACAGTAAAGAGACGACAGCAGTGGCAAGAGTGTTTTGCAGTTTTTAGTCCTGCTGGTCTTTTCTTCTATTTGACGCAAAATGATCGGCAACCTTTTCAAACTATCCAGGCCGAGTATAATTTTATTTTAAGCTAATTTTTTGTCCAAGATTGTTTCTGTTAAGTAACTTTCTTCAGTTCAAGCAATCTACTCCGTTGTTGCAAATATGATTTATATTATGCTGTAGTCCTTATGCTTCTTTGTGACATTTTTTTACCCGTAAAATTCATTTTTATTCAGTAAATTGTGTCATGCTCGCCATGTGAGCGCTGCAGATGTCAGGTGCGCTGGAGAAAATCAATTACCGCGTATTTTTCAGGCACGTACGAAGCTTTTGCGATGTTTGCTATTTTTTATATTTTTTATAACTTTATAAGTACAATTTTCTATATTTATGGAGTTATTACAATTCAAATGATTTAGAAGTGTGGATGTTTGTGTTTTTTTTCAAGAATCATTTTTTTTTCAAAATTTTTTAGCTAGATTTTCGAAATGTAATCCAACGATTTTTTCAAGAACTGTTAGAGATAAGCGCAGAGTTCAGTGTAGTGATTTTTCTATACAGTGGTATAGATTTCTTAAGTAGATTTTCAAAATTTAATTTGCATTTGCTTTGAACATTTGAATTGAATCCAACCTTATTACATCCTTTTTTAGAGTCATATGTTGAATATAACTCTTGATTTTTTACATTAAATCTCAATTTCTCTAGAAAGTTTCTAAAAAATTGTGATTATGTCATATCTGATTGTGTAATCAGACATTCTCTTGATCTTGATAAATCTCCATTACTTTTATTCGAACTTTTTTAGATTTTATATGGTACTGAGGAGAATTCATCATCACGGCGCTCCTCCGTGGCTGACTTATCATCACTATCAGGTTCGCGCGAGGTTGGTATTTCGCATAATTTTTGTATTTTTGCAAATTACAAAGCATTTCTCTGTCTTGCTCCTTTTAAAGGAATTTTATTCTTGGAAAGAAATACCTTAGTGAATCTTAAAGCAGAAAGTAGATTTTTTTTGGAAAAATTACCGCATCTCATAACGATTATTAATGAATGTGATGCAAATGGAAAAAAACATGTTGAGCCCACTCGAAAAAAAGACTAATATCACGAGAAGTAAATAGCAACTTCAATATTTGATGCAGACTTGCGTCTGCATATTGCATTAAAATTTCGCAAAAATAGTTTGTCTCATATGACTAGCAGTTTCTTGATTGATCAAGTTTTATCACTCTTTTTATGATTGATAGGAGCTTATATAAGTAAGAGCTTGATATAACGAATGATGATTGTTGAACAGGACGAGGGAGGAAGAATAGAGAGCAATGTTTTTGCCTAACATGAAATTTTATTTTATATATTAGTAATTATAATTGAATGATTTAAAGAGTTCATTCAGGAGAAACTGGATAAAGCACTGTGGAATCGGCATGATCTAGTCGAACTGACTTTCCACATGCCAACGAATTGTGATCTTTGTGTTAAGCCATTGTCTAATTTGCTCCGACCTCCACCAGCTTTCGAATGCAGGCGTATGTTTTTTCGAATTATTTTTTTTTTTAAAGTTGACTCTTTATTTTACTCATTGATTTTTTTATCCTATTACTAACTTGTATTTAGGTTGTCGGATGCGTTTTCACAGAGATCATCTTGGAGTGGAAACAATACCACAATGCAGACGTATGTTTTGGTTTGTAAAATAATTCGCAATCTTACTGCATACTTTAGATTCTCACCTCATAGTGTTGTAACAAAATACATGAACTTATTTTTTTTAGAAACAGTAGATGCTCGAGAGATGTTAATAATGGCTCCATCAGCAGAAACATGTGAAGCATGGGTTCAACATTTAAAGCGTTTCCTTGATTATAAACATTCCCAAAAAACGGTATGTAATACTCATTTGTTAGGATAAGCTTTGAGAATCCAATACTTATGTTCTATTGGAATATTGGTTCTGGGAAATTGATTTGTTTTCATCCATATGCTATCAGAAAACATGTCATTCAAATTTTGTTAGAAGTCAGCTTTGAAGAATTTTAAAAGAAATTGTTTCGAGTTGAATGAGAGGAATTAGTTTATTATGTGTTTGAAGGGGACGCCACTTCCGCGTTCTGGTAGCTCGATGAAGGTGCCTACAAAATCTGCAAATGTGCCTCGTTCCGCTACTCTGCCAAACAATTCACTTATTTCTCCGGTAGCTCTGTGATAAAGTTACCCATTTTTGATATTGTTTAAGTGCAAATTGTCCAATTTATTGTCAATATGGATCGAAACTTTTTTATCTCCGTCTTTTGCAGGATTTCATGTAAATTCTTGATCTATTTTCATTCATTTTGGTTTCATGCAGTTGAATTTAATGAAAATTCAGATCATATCTCTTTGTTGGGTAATTTTTTCTGTAAATTTGCCTTCATAATTCATATCATTTCAGCGTTTCTTCGTTTTTGTTTTTACCCTGCCTTTTATCTTGTTTTACATTTTTATGATTACTTGGAAGTATTGCGAAACCTGTTTTCTCTCATTTTCAGTGATTTGTCTTACTATTTACATAGTGATAACATCATAAAATTTCAGCTCTTGAGTTCTTGTCTATGTTTGCTCAGTTAAGTTCATCTTTAAATTTAAAATGAAGAATTTACACTTTTGTGACAAGAACAAGAAACTTTTTTTGTGTCTAAAAAATTTTTAATCCGAAATTTAACCGGTTTTTATGAAATTAGAAATCTTTCAGTTATCATAGCTTTTATTTAATTCTTTCTTTCATTTCACATATTTTACTAATTTCCTATTCCATATCTTTCATTGTCGTACTTAAACCATTTATTTTTTGAGCTTTCTCTCTTCATCTACTGTAAAATACTGCAGAGATCAGCCTTTCAGTATATTCAAGAGCATCAAACCAAACTCAAGGATCACTGTATTTTTTTCACTTTATATCATTTTGGCTCCATTTGTCATGTTGTTGGTGTCACTGGCATGCAAAATTTTCAAATTTCTAGTTTTGATTAATAAACATCATTTTACCACAATTTCAATAATTGAGAAATTTCAATAATATGAGGCAATCTCTGTAAGAACAAAAAACATTTGGTGTTTTAACTTCTAACGGAGTCAGCTGCAACGCTACTGTTCAACATTAGTGTTATTTTTGCATCTTATTGTATTACATTGTAATTTCTTATCATAGTCGAATGTTAATAAACATTTTTGATATCGTTTCTTTTTCTTTTAGAATCATTTTAGTAGGAAACCCATATTCATTATCGTTTAGAACATACTGTTAAATTTAATTCTTGAAAATAAACATTTGGTAGGAATAAAAGCTTTTGCTTTTTATTCTTATCGAATTTATTTTATTTATTTGCCAAATTTTTTTTTAGGGTTAGAATTTTGATTGGCCGTTTTTAAGACATGTTTATTTGGCAAAGTGTACAATAAAGAGAAATTGTATATTTATAATTTATTTGGATATGGACGCTAGCAATGTAGTTGCGGGATCGCATTATTTAGGTAATGTTCTATGCTTGAATTAAATGAGTTGTTTTCTATTTTCAACCTCTTTTTTTCTTAGAGTAGCTGGTAATAATTTGAGTTGAATGATTCGGAGTTCAGTGCTTGATTCCGATTTAAATACTTTATTAAGGCATGATAGCTTTATGTCATAGAAATTCCGAATATTGCAGCATTGTGACATTTCTAATGCTGAATATTCTAAGTTATTCTGATTGACGGTTAAATACTTGGTCATGCATAGACAGGAGAATTATTGATAGGTAAGACGCAGAAGTATTTTCTTAGTACTTAAGTTGTTTGACAAAACATTATAATCTTGTTGACGAGAATTTAATGCTTATCGTTATTGGAGTTTAAAAATTTTTTCGAAAATGAATTTTCAAGACCGTGAGGTATTACGTCCAATGGATAAAATGGATCTAGTTATAATTTTTGAAAATGTTTTCCTGAAGGAGCCAGAAAATTCAAAAATTTCTAGAAGATCTGGAAGGACCGCCTGTAAGTCAACCACTACTGATTTCGGCTGGTTATGATCAGTGTGTTAAATTTTGGGATATTGCAAGAGGTGAGGCACGAGAAAATTTCATGCAGAAAGACTCGCAAATTAATGCGATGAATATTTCTCCAAATGGCTTGTATCTGGCGATTGCTGGATGGCAACACGTCCGTATCTATCATTTGGGGGTGAGTCAGTTTTAATATTTATTTTGCATGAAGAATGGTTGAAATTGTGGGAGAAAAAGCAAAAACATAAAGGAAAAGGAAAAAGAGATTTAGAAGGAGGATAAAAATAGGAAAAAGTGTATTTTGCTTTCCTTCTGTATAAGTCCTAAGTTTTAGAACTCTGTTTAGGTATCTCCCCCTACAATGGCAGCTTCATGTGATTCAGGAAACAAAAATGTGACAGTGGTTGGCTCCGATGACCGTTGCAAATTTTTTTACACTGCTGGTGAAGATGGTCTTGTAAAAACCTGGGATTTCCGTACTTCTTTACACTGCCAAAGTAGTTTTCAAGTGAGTAATGTTTTATTTATCGCTTTAAAAGTAAAGTTTTTCTGACTGTTTTGATAACTGCAACTCAGATATTAAAAGAACTTAAATTAATAAACTGATTTGTGTGGTTTTTAATCATAATTCACTGTTTTAAACCATTCTTCAGTTAGTGGCAATGCAAGAGATATAAGTAACGTTTTCTAGTTCTAAAAGTTAGAGAATAAATCCAAAAAGAAAGTAACTGAGGAGACTTATTAAGGAAAAATATCGTGGCATTATCAAAACTTCACTTGTATGATAATTTGAATTCTGATTTGTGGTCCAAGAGTTAATAGTACAATACGTCCGTTTATATCTTTCTTTCTTTTCTCTCTTTTTCCGTTCTCCTCTCGATGAAATATACCTCATGAACTCCGCGCCTCTTCATACCATGCAGATGAAACAGATCACATGTGAAGTGCGATAAGTTGATAATTTGAAATTGTGCAAATCAGTAGTAACTCAAGTGGTATGATGGTACTATGCAGTATTGAGAATATTATTTGTAAAAACCGAAGAAAACGTTATCTGCAGAACTTTTTTATTTCTCTTTCTGTAATATTTTCAGGTCAACGCTGCAGTGAATTGTGTTGTTACTCACCCATATCAATCGATTTTAATTATATCAGACGTTTCGGGAGCATTGTATTTTTGGGATGTGGGAAATGAAGTTAGCGATATTTTTTCGAACTTAAATCTCGACGTATTTGAACATATCACTTGTGTTGATATCAATAGAGCTGCTGACACACTTATCGGAGTAACAAATAGAGGAAAAGTCATAGTATGGTCTGTATCAACATTATCTGAACTCGGTATTATATCCACCACTGGCTTAACACTGTACGTTTTTTGAAGTATAGGTAGCATTTTCTCAGAAAAAAGTTTATGATTAGGTGATTTTAATTAATTGTCGATAACAGAATATTACTTGTGAAGAAGTGATTTGCTTAATTAGTTACTTATAAAGAACTAACGAAAAGTGCCGAGTCACTGTTATAATCTGCAGAACAATCCTTTTATCCAATTCAGTTAACTTCAGGTCTCCACACTATTTTTGCTTTGATGAGCTGAAAAATTTTTGAAGCTTTTTTAATGGGATTTACTTGGATTGATTTTACTCGGATTTCATATTTCAGGCAGCAAAAATCAAAAATTGCTGCTCATTCAAAATATGCTTTGAAATGTCGCTTTTCGCCTGATTATAAGTATTTTGCGACGACGGGTGCTGATGGTTATGTACATCTATGGGATGTTACAAATGTCACAAAACCCGCAAAGTCCCTTTTTGTTGCACTTGATTTAACAAAGACAGTTCATCTAGAGAAGGTACATCAAAATTTTTTTTTTCACTCTTGAGCCCCTGAATACTATCAATTAAGGAGATTCGCTGATCAATTATGCGGATATAAGGGGAGAATAAGCTGGTTAAAATTTAAATGTAAAGCATGGTTGAAATTGTGAAGACATGGACTTCTCCTGTATGCAAGATTATTTACAATTAAATTAAAAGCCAATATTGCGACTTCTGTAAACTGAAAGGAAATGAATTATAAATAATATTGTAAAGATGGTTCATATTCAAGTTCAAATTTTGATGGATTCGTATTAAAAAGATCAATTCATTCGCTGATTGTTCAGTTAATTTGTTTTAGCTGGAATCACGATGGGTTTGGGATTGTGCATTTACATCCGACTCTAAATATCTTTTCACTTCATCTGGTTGTCAGTTACGATTATGGAATCTTGAGACTGAAGAAGTATGTAATTTCTGCTTCTGCTCCTGTTTTCTTTGGTTCAAACTTGAAAAATTGCACATGAGTTCATTATGTTTCAGATGGTACGGCAATATCAGGGTCACAGCAAAATGATTTCTTGTTTTTCATTCCGCGAAGGTCGATGTGTTTTTTAAAAAGAAAAGCGATAGTCATAGCCCACTTTACTAAATTAATTATGTTTATTGGTGCTGCTTTTTAGTTGATGTACTGGCCGAAATACAGTCAAATCATTATCCATTTATGTTTAGTTGATTTCAAGTTCAATTCCTGCACGAGACAAGAATTTGTTATTAGTAATGATTTTGCATCTAAAATTTCGAGTAATTTATAGCTAAAAGCCATGTGACATTATTCGATTTGAATATGTTACTTCAACGCATGAAATTCAAAACTTTAAGCTCATTTTTTGTTTTAGTATTAAATAATATTAGAGTTTGGGAAGATTTTGTACACAGGGTCATATTCACCCGCATTGGAACATGTAAATTACCATCGTACTTTTCACTTTGAGGGTCTCTTTGGCCTGTTTTTTTGTACCATAATCACCAATCACTGTAAATTCTAAGAAAAACTTGTTCTAGTTTTTATGTCTTTTGAGTACTCAATTGTGAGGTATTTTTAGACATTATTGATGCCGAGAAAAGTTTTGTTGCACTTGACTTCTTACATTTATTGCATTGCACATAATTAATTAGGTTTTGCGTCATTTTCAATCTTTCTTTGCATATTAAAATAGTTTTTGTTCATTCACTGATCTCAAATCAGATGTTTATCGCTTTCTTCATGGTTAAACAAAAGTCGCATATTTTATAGCAAATAATCATTGCTTGGAAATATACGCTTTTAAGTAATATTTTAAAATCTACACTTGCAAACAATTATATATATACCTTAACTAATATTTTATGTTGTAATAGCAATTGCTGATAATTTTATTTGAATCAGTCATTTAAAAGTCAGATGTATGCAGAATGTGCCATAGTCAATTATTACTAGCAATTTATTATGAGATGTAACAGTGTATTTTATGTTCTTCTTAATGCATGCTGATGAAATGTTTTGAATTTGTATCTTTGAATGGGAAATAGTGAGTTCCGCTTTTCCATTCTCATTACATTAAGAAGTATTGAAGTTTGTTGGCATGGTTGCATACATTTCATTGCTTTAGCATATAAAATTTAGTTAAATTCAGTTAAATATTTAGAATCTAAAAATTGAACAGCACACTGTCATCAAGTCATATAATTATTTGTACTTATATTGCTTTGCTCACTTATCGATGAGATACTTGAGGCTAAAAATGATTCGTCCTTAAAAATGGAATGTAGCCATTTGCTACTTTGTTTGCTGGATTGTGATACTTTGAGTAATAACGGTTAGTTAAGGTGGAAAATTCACCGGGTAAATAATTTCTCTTTTCGGCATACTGTGTCCACTGGTGATTGTTCAGGATAGAGGTGGTCGAGTATTGCTCTTCCAAAAAAGCCAGCGTGCTAACCATATTGTAAGAATTTACTAGCATTTTAGGCGTTTCCATGGAGGTGGTTCTATGAATATGTTGGAAAATGGAAGACTTCAATAGTCCCAATGAAAAGGAAGCGGAAGCGAAAAAACGTTGGCAAAAGACAGATGCTGTATGTTTTGATGTCGATTCCACTTTATATGCTAATGAAATGATCGATGAATTTGCAAAATATCTCCACTGCTATGAAGTCGCCAAATTCACTGAGGAAGCAATGAATGGTGAGATTCCATTTCGTGAATCTTTAAAGATTCGTTTAAGCATTCTTAAACCGACGCGGAAACAATTGGATGATTTTATTCAAGAAAGAGAATTAAGATTGACACCCGGCAGTGAAGCTTTAGTTGCTGAATTGCATCGTCGTCTTATTCCAGTTTATTTGATCAGTGGTGGCTTTTTTTCTATGATTCTTCCGGTAGCAAAGATTCTTAAAATTCCTGCGACAAATATTTATGCAAATGAGATGTTCTTCGATGAAAATGGATTTTTCATTGGTTTCGATGAAACAAGAGTAACCAGTGACTCAGATTCTAAAAACTTCGGTAAAGCAGCAGTCTGTAAAAACTTAAAAGATGAGAAGGGGTACCAAAATTTAATAATGATTGGTGATGGTGTGACCGATCTGGAGACGTCTGCACAAGCTGATCTGTTCATTGGTTTTGGTGGGAATCGATGTCGTGAAGTGGTAAAAAGAAAAGCGTCATGGTTTGTATATGATTTCGATACTCTCAGGACAAGTCTAGTGAATAAGTGATCGTTTTATGACAGAAGTTTCAAAGCTTCACATTTTGTTCCTTCGGAATAAATCGTTACCACCGTTCAAATATTTCAGTGTAAGAGTTTTGTTAACTTGTATTTTTATAGATAGTTTTAAAAGATGAATGATATTATCTATCTATAAAAATGAGATTGAAAATCAATCGTGTTTGTTGTAGTTTCAAAAAGCCAGAGAACTGGCATTTAATTTAAATTTATTGGATTCTGAAGATTTTTGTCCAATATTAATTTTTATAGTGATAAAGGATCAATTTCCTATTCATATTAAGGCTACTGTTGTTAACAATTATTTGTTAAACATAACATAATCCCTTCTATTGTGCTTAATCAATAAAATATCATAGAAATACCTTTGATCAGTCTCGAACGATTAAAAGCTCAAGTGATACCAGTTTGAACCAGAAATGGATAATAAGTTGTCCATTGTGTGGACAGAAACATGAAAAAGACAACCATATCATTAATTATGACAACTTCAGATTTGAATAGTTCGTGTAAGTGTTACATAGGGGAATTCGAAAACGAAGGGAAACAACTATTTCTGACAATATGTATGTTTTATGTATCCATATCTGAATAGAAAGGGAGGAAAGTGTCGAGAATTATCGAGTTTATTCATAAAGAATGAGTCACTTCATTGCTCGAAAGTGACGATGATTATCTAAAGGAAAGCAGTCGCTTGCATATAGGTAATATTTCACCTCTTCCACAAATTAAGCTGCATTCTAAAACGCAAATGTCTACCTCTGTTAATAAGTATCACTCGCATAAGAGGAAGAACGCGACAGACGACAGGCACCCACCTCCAGCGAAATCACGGGGAAAGGTGAAACAGAACGGCGATCTGGTGGGTTATTATGAAATACTCGGGTCTCAACGAATTTTGTCCTTTGACATGTTTGAATATTGAAGGACTAGCTAAATTTAAAAGGCAGCGGGAATAGATGGTGCTGGAATCGGGTAGAAACGAGGTCAAACAAGTTTTGGAAGGAAGTAGAATGAATAATTAGATTAGGGATGATCTAGAAGCTATAACGACTTGGAACAGGTATCGATGTTAATGTATGTCATATGCCTCTTCAGTTATCTATGTCACTTTTCTACCCTTCGCCCTCCTTCATTTTTTTATCCAGTCATTATTGCACGTTATTCTTACTTCTTATCATACTTTACGTTCAACATATTCTCATGCAACCTCTGATGATAACTGTGTCACCCGATATAGTTATCATCAAAGATTAATTAGGAATCAATTGGATGCAGCTTATTTATAGCACTGATCGTTACCACACAGTAAAAATAACACGTCAAGTGTCAGTAGCATAAGAAGATAGAATGAGCACTTTCTAATGTCACTAAATAACTATTTTAGAGTATCAAATCTCCATGATCGTCATATCGTTACATTTACTTAGATGTCTTTTTTTCAATTCTTTTTTCCACTTATATGGAATACTTTTGAAATTACATTCCTATTGGTAAATAATTGATGTTTTTTAAGCAGTTATAGTGGTATATCAGGTAGGGTTGTTTGATTCAAACGTTTAGCTTTCTTGTGCATTTCAGTTACTAAAATTGAACAAGTTTGCTGCATTATAGAACTAGAAATGTTCGCTCGTAAAGTGAAGTCGGCAGATTTTACAGCGTCGCTGCAGCGCTTTGCCGATCTTCACCGTGATTGTGCATCACGAGCCAAACATCTCAAACTTGCTCTTGATGCCCTTTGCATCCAGGTTAAATTTTGAAACATATGATAGGAACTATTAAAATTCGGTATTTGTTTCTACAGATTGTATTTTGTTGTGACATTAATGTACCTCCTATGTATATGGAATGGGGTGTTACATATACTAATCGATTGAAGATCAAATTATTAATTATTGAAAGATTTGAAAATGTGATTCGTTGATGAATATGGCTTTGTTCAAATTTATCTCTTTTCCCATCCTTATTATGAGATAAAACTTTCTAAAAAATTATAGAAAAGTCTGGCAATAATTGCTGATGTTAAGGATTTGAAATGACAACTCCGCCTCAGGTTGCATCTTCTTTTCCAGGACAAGAGGCAGTTTATGGAAGATTATAGTTTTGAAACGTTTCATCTGGTTGATGAATTATTACTACAAGCTGATCTTACGCAAACGACTCAGTCAGTTCTTGAAGCAGAATCAGCTTTATGGACGCTCGAACAATTGCTGTGCCTTGCACCAGGATTAGTTGGCAGTGGTATATATGAAATTCTGTTTCTTAGATCTGAAAATTTATGCAATACCTAAATCCCAGATTTTATTTTTCTCAGGCTGGCAAAAGCATGCCATCGAATACATCCTGAAAAAAGCGCTGTTTCCGCATAATTTGCTAGCCGTAAGAAAAATTGCTCTACGTCTTTTCATTATTTGGTATCAGAGTTTGGCCATGTACAGCAATAATACTTCGCAGTTAGATATTGTTTTTCAATGTCTTCTTCCGCATTTCCCATTAAGGTTCGTAAATCTCTGTTCATAAGGTCGTAATTATGTATTCGTAAGGTTCATTTTAACTTTTGTTCATTTTTTTCATTTTTTCGTAAATCTTTTAATAATTTTCTTATATGATGGAAATTAGGTAGTTTGATTTGCCTTTATTAAATAATTCTAATTCGTTCATTTTCAGAAATAATTTACCTACTGAAGACATTTTACATAATTATTGTCAATCGATCTCTAATATCGTAGGGCCGGGACCTATACGCAACTCACCACTTGTATGTAATCCAAACAACACTGCACCGAGCGCGAAGGAAAGAGCGCAGCTACTTCAGGTAATTTAATAATTGTGATAAAAACATAAAGTTATAGTGAATATGTATTATCGTTATTATTAAAAAGTGATTCTGAAAATAGTAGATTCAGAAACCTTGAGGAGCTCCTTTTAAGGTGTATTTGGTAATTTCACGGTATTGGTTAATTTTAGGTGTATTTGGATAAGTTTCTCGAATATTGTACTCGAGAAACGATTCGAATAGAATGGAATGACGAAAATATTCGTCTGGAGTGTGCAAAATTTATTCTGGATCGCGTAATTGTTCTCTACATTTATGAAATATTTCCTGATATAGAAACTAATGGTGTAGATATTTATGGTGGATGGGAGGGTAGCGAAGGACAAATAGATATTCGCGATACTGCTGATCCTGTAGTAATTTCACGGTATTGGCTAATCAGGTTTGTGAAATATTTTGCTGTGAATATCTTATTAATTCAGTTATTTTTCAAACTTCATTTCTTCCAAGTTTCCTCCCTATTCCTTCTTTTTCTCTTACTGAACACATTGACTAATACTACTTAACATTGAAGTCTTTTCACGTTATTCTTTTGTTTAGGGCTATAAAACCTTACCTATTTACAGATGGATGGCGACGGTTGCGCTTACAACTAGTAATGATTTAGCTGTAACGGGTCAGCTGCTATATCGGAAAGCTTTGTTTTCCAGTCGTAAAGCAACGAATACGCTTTTAACACTTTTAAAAGAAGCTGTAATGCTACCATTACCATGTTCGAATGTTATTCATAAAGTAAGTATTGCATCTTTCCTTCATAAATTTTGTCAACATTATATATATATAGCGCTGACAAAATTTATCTTCCTTTTTTATCGAAAATACTCTTATATAAATATTTGGACACTTTGTATACATTTTTAGTAATGGAATTTAGCTATATGCTTCTTTCTTCGGTATGATTGCACGGTATTTTTGACTTAAGAATGAGGAGGTAACAGTATACTTCACTGATGGTTTGGGTCTCAGTAGTAGCAATCTGATATGTCTCATAAATGTGGAGGTGGAAATTTTTTCATTTTTCTTCGTTTTTCTGCCTGCAATAAATTTGATATTTTGTACAAAATATCAAATTGTGTCAGTTGTTTTCAGTTAAAAAACATGAATTGGTTGTAGTAGATGGATGAATGCTCAGAAGATTCAATGGATTTCTGTTTTTAGGTCTTTTCTTTGATCAATACATGGTTGTTGCAACGGAATTTACCTCCCTTTATTGACCAAGGAGGAATTGCGATTGAATCATTATCACTTTTACTCATTCATTTCCTTACTTCATTTTTTCACAGTCCATACTTACCGGTAGCTGGTGAACGCTTGTCATCTGCCATTTCTTTGACGCAGAGCTTACTGCAAACGACTCGTGATCTCTCCAATCCTTCAACACCCCTACCAAATTCACTCTCAACTAGAGTGTGGTGCGAACTAATCAGAAGTCTTTCAGACGGCATACGCACTGTTACTTCCAGGTTTTGGATCGTTTTTCATTCATGTCTTTTCAATCATTAATACATCAAATTGTATTGTACTTGGAAAAAATTATTTTTGTTTGATTATTTGTAATGTTGATCGACTCTTATTTCAGATCTGACGCTTATGGACGTGCAACTTCTGGTGCTTTGGCACAAAATCTCCTTGGTGTTATTGTTTTCGTTCGAGCCATAAGTGGTTAGCCTGTTATTCATCTGAAATATTGTTAATTTATGGAAAATGAATTATGCGAATCTTTTAATTATGTTTAGCTGTTATGTCTTATATCTGTTATAGAGATGAGTTCACGGATTCGCTATTCAGAATTTGCTTTAGGTATTGAAATCGAAGAGAGAGTATGGGATGATGTACTATCTGTGTTCCAGTCTGGTTGTTGGATGCAAATGATTGAACAGTGGAGCCGAGTGGTTGATAGTGTTACACGTGCGCTTGTCCTGAATCTTTTTGAGGTTGACGTGGCTCCACCTCCTCAATCGGTATATTTTTTATTAATCTAGTCTTTCAATTTATTCATTTTTGCTTCGGTGCATTCACTGAATCTTTTTTTGAGGGTTTTAAGCAAATTATTATTAAAAGATAACAAAAGCAACTAATTATCATATGATACTTTTTTAGGCTTCGCATGAAATAGTCAAAAGAGTAAAAAGTAATGAAACGACAACCACTCAGGA